GTCTCCTTATTATTAAGTTTCATTCCATATTTTTCTACCGATGTTAACTACTTGATATATCAGTATTCGCAATTCTTCAGCACTATCCGCAACAAGGACAGTGTCGTCTGCATATCTTAGATTATTTATCACTTCACCGTTAACAATCACGCCATCAGAGGTTTCTCCCAAAGCTTCTTAAAATAGATGTTTAGAATATGCATTAAACAGCAAAGGCGAGAGTATGCAACCTTGTCGTACTGCTCTTTGTATAGCGACTTTATCGGATAATTGATTGTCTACTCGAATCTTGGCTACTTGTTTTCTATAGAGATTGGCTATTATTATCATATTCTTGTCATCGATGTTTGCGATTCACAAAGTTTCAATAAGCCTCTTATGCTGTAATTTGTCAAATGTCTTTTTCGCAGTCAATGAAACAGGCAAAAATATCTGTATTAACATCTCTTGCTCGTTGTATCAATACTTGTATGCTAAAAAGTGCTTCTCTTATGCCAAGACCGCTGCGAAATCCAAATTGTACATTTTAGCAATTCTTCTTCTTCCTATGCCGTCCCCATTAACGGAGGTTGGCGACCACATTTTTAAAAGCTTCTCTGTCTTTTGCAACGTGGAATAATTCGTCTACAGTCATGTTTGTCCAGTCTCGAATATTTCGCAGCCATGACTTCCTCTTTCTACCTATTCCCTTTTTGCCATCGACTCTACCCTGCATGATGACCTGCAGGTATTTTAGCAATACCCTCCTCCTCCAATTTCTTGTATATGCGAGCATGGATGATGTTTAAGAAAATTTTGAGTGAGTGGTTCATGAGGCTAATGAGTCGGTGTTCTTCACATTTCTTAGTATTTGCTTTTTTTGGCAGTGGTATAAATATGGACATGTACCAATCTTTTCGTAAAGTTCCGGTTTCATATATTTTTACAATATATTCTAAAAATATTCTAAAATAATTCTGTCATAATGTCAAGTTGATTGTCTTCTATCAATCAATAAATACCTCAGCATATATTCCATCAGGTCCTAGCGCTTTGTTGTTTTTTAGACGACTTATAACAGATCTCACTTCTGATTTTGTTATTGTTGGTCCATTCTCGATGTTGTTATATACTTCAATGTGTTGGTTGTCACTGAACAGTTCTGCTATATATTCCTGCCATCTGTCCAGTTTTTCTTGCGTATTGAATAGTATGTTTTCATCTTTATCAAACAGTGCAGTGGGCATTGTTGTTCTATATATTCCTGCCATTTATTTGATTTTCCTGTGCATATTGAATATACCATGTTTTTTCTGTAGAATCTCTATTTCTCATCAGCATTTCTCTAATATACTTCTTTTGCTAATTCTATTCCTTTAAGTACCTTTTTGTGTAAAATCTGATGTGTCATCCATAGTTGTTTTATTTGTCTTTCCTGTTGACGTTGTTTATTGTTGTTGTTACTAATACATCTTTGATCTTGTTCCACATTGTATCAATATCTTTCTTATTATGTGTTGCAATTTCGTTAAATTTTGGCGTTCTTATAACGCCCGACTTTCAAGTTTTTTTCATCCTTACTCTCAGTTCAGCAAGCAATAAGTTATGGCCGAAGTTGATATCTGCTCCAGACCTCCAGGTATATAGCCTTCTAGCTGGTATTTTCAATTGGCTGTTCATAATTACATTATCTGTTTCTTGACAAAATTATATCAGTCGTTAGCCTCTTTCATTCCGTATACCCAATCCATACTCTCCTATTATGCCTTCCGCTGTACCCTTTCCAATTTTGCACACACCGATTTTGGACGTTCGATATTTTACCGGCCGTCCAAATTCCAATAGTGAACCATATGTGAGAACGGGACATTGCACAAAGGCCGACCGCTAATCGGTGTCGGTAATATGTCGGTGAGCGGATGTTCACTGCCACTGTATCGCCTGCACGACCGGGACGTATTGGCGTACGTGACTAAATAAAATATTGCACACACATCGATTTTTTTATCGGCCAATTCGACTGATCGGTGAAATTTTAGGTACATTTTAATTTTAGTTTGGTAATGCTTGGTATATAATTACGATTGCAATGGATAATTTTCTTAATATTTATGTCCTTATTTCGTTAGTGGAGGTAAGACCTAAAGAAGCTGAAAAACTTACTACCATCACGCGTTATTTTCAGAATCAAAAGAGTGTAGAATGTTCCCGTGTTTTCTCTGTTTTGATTGAAAGGATGAATCCAATGACGTATAATATATAGACTCGGTGAACGCTTTAAAAAGTGTCCACAACATGAATACCTTTGAACTTTGATGGTATACAAGGCAAATATCGAACACAGTAATTAATTAAATCTTGCCCAAGTACTTTCGATCAAAAGATCATCCTCAGGGGCATCTGAAATAAGCCAAGAAACGTTTTTTTATAAAAACGGAAATTAATTCACTTCGATAAAAAACTCGAAGTGTATGGTTGAAAAAAGTTTTTATGTGATAAACGTTTATAGACTTAGTTCGTCAGTTGTGGCCTATCCGACATGAGCAGAATGTCATACATGTAAATTTGGACATAACAATACAATACACAAAGACAAACAAACACTTTAAAATTTTTAAAAATGGAGAAGCTACATGTTATATAGAAGCCGGAGACAGAATGGCTCCCGGTCTGGCGGAAATATTGAGATGACATGTGACAAATGACAGCTTGTAAAGGGCGGTTACAATAGATATGTGATCTGCACCTTTCAAAATTCTATGAAACTAAGTATTGACCAAAGGTCCAACTGACACCACTATAGGAAATCAACTGATGAAATATAAAATTATATAGTATATTTTTTTATGTAGATTGAATAATCCAAATCTCACACTCAAACCTGTCTATAAAAATTAGATGTTAGTTTGAGAGCAATTGAAGTTGACATAAAGTATGAATGTAAGAAAAGGACTAAACAATATATTAGACAGTGGATGGTTGACTACAATAAAATGGTCCACCAAGCGCTATCAGTACTGTAGAAAAGGAAAAATCTGAATATGCAGTTAAATTACTAAAAAGGAAAAATCAAAATTGAAAGCAAAATATATAAATGGAAGTAGTTCAGTTGAATCCACAGTCAATGGAAGAACTTTAAAATTAATATCGAAATGCTCAGTGCATGAAGTCTAAACAGTCGAGCTGGGTCCTCTACAGTCTACGAGGTGAAGCTGTAATAAAGTTTTTAAATATAGGATTAAATTTAGTACAATTTAAATTAATTTGAGTATTAAGACAGTGAGAGTTTTCATTTGCTTCCCTTATAATCTCCAAATCTTCCAATAAATCCAACTCAAGATAGTTTTTCTTTCTACTAATGTCATGTAAGATAGATGAACCAGAATTGATGTTAAAATTGTGGTTGCTGGATACTAAGTGTTGACCAAAACTTGAAGAGTTTGGTCTTTTCAAATGTTCAGAGACTCTAGTGGATAACTTTCTGATGGTTCTACCTACATAAGAGGCATCACAATCATCACATTTTAATTTGTAAATACCACTTTTATCAAGTGTACTCATCCTATCTTTGGCATTGATTAAGAAGGAACCTAAAGTGTTATGTGTTTATAATTGATAACATCAAAATTTCCTTTAAATCACGAGCAAATTTTATTTTAAATTGTTAAGAGTTATTTATTTACTATTTTAGTAAAATGCCATACTATTTTATAAAAATAATTTTTTCTCTTATAGACGGGAACAAAAAAAATCATAAATATTTAATTTTTATAAAAAAAAATAATTATTGTCATTAAAATATAAATGAGCACGCCGCTGTAAAACATACCTTCAACCTTGAACGGAGATCTTTCGGACACCCGATTATATAGCGAGAATACAAGACTGTTAGTCTATATATTATACCTCATTGGATGAATCCACGACTTGCGTTTAATACTACCTACAGCGACACAAATATGTAATAACAACAACTCGTTTAAGATTCATTATTATTCAACAACCTCGTGTTACGACAACAAAGCAACTCATTTTTTGACCGGTAAAAATCCGGAGCGCTTGCAAGCATCTGCTGCCAGTAAAATATCGAAAAATATTTTATACTGGCCGTCCAAAAACGGTGTATGTGCAATTACACTTAAAAAAAAAAAAAAGTTGTAGGTAGCAATTTTTGGAATAACAGTGGCGTACACTATTTTGTTAAATTTTCATAAAATTTATGTAGGCTTGCGCGCTTTAAGGTTAAGCTAATGGTCCGGAAATCATTACAGGATACGGATTTTGTTTTCTTTGGTAGAGCAATAAACGTCGACTTCAGCCATGTTCTTGGTATTACCCCGCTTAAATATATGTCCCTAGAAATCAAATGATGACTTAGCTGTACAAATGTCATGATTATTCAATACCCATAAAACTAAGGTTAGTACGATGTTATATCTTTAATATACTATTGTATGAAAATTATAAAAATTGGTAAAAAATAGGTAACAGTTCTTACTTAATTTTTAAATATTTTCGAGGAGTAACAATTAATTGGTTTGGTGGATTTTCTAAAACAAAATAATAACTGGGAATTATTATTTGACAATATTGACCAATCTACAAGAATAATTATGGAAAAAAGACTATGATAGAAGTTATTTTGTCTCAAAGCAAACACGGCATCCGTTGTTCTTCTTTCTGGCATATATCCAAATTGTCCTTTTATCGATGAATAGAATTTCAATTATACGACCACCACATTATTTAACAAATCTATCTTCGTCTAACTTTCATGTTTTTCCTCAACGAAAAAAGTCTTAAGGTCGTAAATTTTTCTCCAAAGGATAGGTGATAGCTAAATTCGTTATAATAAATGTATCCAATTAGGAGAAGCGTATGTTATATGCATTATAAAATACTTTGACTTTCAGATTTTGTTTATAAATTGTATATAAAATTTGTTATGTTGAGAATTTAAATTTTAGTTTACTTATTTTTTAATGTATTTATATATTTATATATATTTTTTTCTGTTACAGAGGACGTTTTTAAAAGAGACAGGCAACTGGCCAAGATGTATCACCCAATATATCAACGACATAGCTTGCCTATTGCGGTTGTTAATCTAATAGCTCCAGAAGACATTGAGGTATGAATTTACTACTGGACAAAAAACTGATTTTTCGAATTTTTGGCATTTAAATGCAACGCTCAAACATAAAACAATAATTTATTCTATAAAAGTCGTTTACATAAGTATACATAAGTATACAGGGTGTTTCATTAAGTTTTGTCCATATAGTATTTGAAGAAACCTTGGCACACAATACGAAGATTTAACCTATAACACCTATTATTAACCTATAACACATATTAAATTTGCAGGAACATTTTAGTACGCTACTTAATGGAGAAAGTAGAGCTGAAGGTAGATATGATATAGAAATAGAACACGAGGATACTGAACTACCAACTTTGGAAGAAATAAACAAAGCAATTCAGTCTCTAGCCAGAAACAAGTCACCCGGAGCAGACAACCTACCAGCAGAAATATTTAAATGTGGCAGTCAAACATTTGTAACCCTCCTTCACAAACTACTAATACAGGTATGGCAAGAACGCGCGTTACCAGAAGATTGGAATACTGGAATTATATGCCCCATACAAAAAAGGTATATAGAACGTTTGAATGCTCCAACTTTAGGGGGATTTCCCTTCTTAATACAGCATACAAAATTGTGTCCCTGATACTTAACGAACGACTGGCACGGTATACTGACAATATAATAGGATCCTATCAAAGAGGCTTCTTGAAAAACAAATCTACCATTGATCACATATCATCTATCAGACAAATATTAGAAAAAACGACGGAGTACGACATAGACTGCCATTACATCTTCGTAGACTTTAAGGCAGCGTACGATACTATTGACAGGTCCCAATTATATTCGGCGATGATCGAATTAGGAATACCAAAAGGTTTGGTAGAATTAATTAAAATGACAATGATGAAAGTCGAATGTAAAGTGCGCGTACAAGGGGATGTTTCAAAACCATTTAAAACCAACAGAGGACTACGCCAGGGAGATGCGCTATCGTGCACGCTGTTCAACCTAGCGTTAGAAAAAGTTATGAGAGATTCGGGAATAAACTTAAAAGATACGATATATACCCGTAGTATACAAATAATGGCATACGCTGATGATATCGTCATAATTGGTAGAACCCAAAATGAAGCAGTGGAGGCTTTCACACGTATCAAAAATGCCGCAGAAAACATCGGATTTCTGATTAACATCCAGAAAACTAAATATATGCCGGCCATATCAAGAATTCAACAAAATAACTTAGAGGTGCAACACGAAACGATAGAAATGGTAGAAGAATTCTGCTACTTAGGATCACTGCTAGACTACAAAAATAACACATCCAACGAGATAAAAAAAAGAATATGCGTGGCTAACCGCTGTTATTTCGGCCTGGGCCCTCAACTAAGAGCGAGAAGTATGTCAATAGCAACAAAGTGCAAACTTTATAAAACAATAATACGCCCAGTGCTCACATACGGATCGGAAACATGGACAATGACGACCCGAGATGAAGAGTTACTACGAGTCTTTGAAAGAAAAGTATTGAGGACCATAGTTGGCGGAGTAAACGAACAGGGTCTGTGGAGAAGGCGATATAACTTTGAACTCTATAGACTTTTTGGTGATGCAGATATTGTGAAGACCATCAAGATAAACCGCCTAAGGTGGGTGGGCCACGTTATGCGTATGGATGAGAGTGATCCCACTAAAACAACTATGCTAAATAGGCCGGTCGGAAGAAGAAGAAGGGGGCGACCTAAACTCAGATATCTGGACTATGTACAGGAAGATCTGAGGGAGATTGGAGTGAGGGGCTGGAGAAGACAGACACTCGATAGGGAAGGATGGAAGAACGTTTTGAAGCAGGCCAAGGCTCACGAAGGGCTGTAGCGCCAACTGATGACATATTAAATAACATATTCCTCCTTACCGAGATACAGAGGGTTTTAGTACAAATATCTTACACATGTTAGGATACTTTAACACATATCTTCAATATGAGAGCCAAGAAATACAATACAATAATATCAGCAGAAAAAAACAAATGTGTGACATCTAAATACCCACTACGATGTAAAATCGAAATTGATGGAGAAATAATAAAGCAGGAAGCAAAGTTTAGATATATGGGAATAGATATAACTAGTTACAGAGATGTTAAAGAAGAAGTAAGGCAACAAAGCTTAAAAACAAATAAAGCGGCGGGATCTATTAATGACACACTCTGAAAGAATAAACGTCTAAAACAAGACACAAGAATCTATAAAGCAGCAATTAGACTTATATTAACATACACAGTGGCGAAAAGACCGGACATATCTAAAACGAGACGACTACTAGAAACAACATAAATAGATGGGTGACAAAACGAAAACAGGAGTGGAACGAACATATTAGTAGAATGGCAGAGGATAGGATAGTACGAATAGCACGAGATAAGTCACCAAATGGACGAAGAAGTATTGGCAGACCAAGAAAAAGATGGTGCGATAATTTAAACAATTTATTATGGTAATATTGAAGAAGAAACATACTTTACAGTCTATATACAAGAAGAAGAAGAAGAATACTTTAACTAGTGTTAAAAGATAGTTTTGCACTTATTCGAGGCTTGGCCGTCATAAGGATACAACGGAATGGTATATGGAATTAAAATCAGGACTCCGAGCAGGCCATGGAAACTCACTTTCTCGCCCTATCCATCTATGAGGAGACTGATTGTTCAAATAATTTCGCACCACCAAGGGAAAATATGGTGGGCGCCATCTTGCATAAACCAAATAATCTTTGGTTTAATGGTAACTCTTACAGTTCATCAAAAGGGTGTTTTTAAGAAATTCCAAATACGAAGTGCCGTTGAAATTTGCGATAATTCGAAGCAACCTATTAAAAATGTTGAAGTAAATTTTCAATTTCTATGGGGATGAAATTTGTTTCAATGGAAGGGAAAATTAAAAGTTTTCTTTAAATATAATTATTATAAGTATATGAATGTATCTATTTGCTTTTTGTCCAGTAATATTTAAAAAACTGGAATTTTAATAAAACCAACTAAAACATTTTTTTTAGCTCATACTCAATAATTCAAAACATATAGAAAAAAGTGCTTTCTACGATTTCCTTCACAGTTGGCTTGGAAATGGACTATTAACCAGCAAAGGTAACACATTTTAAAACAAGACATTGGCCGTTCTAGAGACTTTAATTTTTAAATCGACATTATTATCTATTTTAGGTGCAAATTGGCATAAAAGGAGGAAAATTTTAACACCAGCGTTTCACTTTAACATTTTGCAGGAGTTTGTTGATATTTTTAACAAAGAAGTTAACCATTTAGTAGATGTCTTTAAAACAAAGTGTGATCAACCCATTGACCTTATCAAACCAATCACGGAATTTACTTTGTATTCTATTGGTGGTGAGTTATTGGTAGTCTAATTTTTATTCTTAAAGATGCATGTTTACAGTGGATACCTTGTAGTAATATGTTCTTTAGTTCTTATTTTAGAGGTCTATTTTCATTTATAGTGCTCTTTTAGCAAATACTATGGATATGAGGTCGCAGAAAAGTAACTATAAAGCTCTTTTCTTCTTCTTCGGGTGCCTTATCAGAATTATCCGACGACGTTGCAAAGGCTTCTCGATTTTCTGCAATATGGAATAATTGTGCTGCATTTGGTATCTGAGTCCATTCACGAATGTTTTTTAACCAAGAAACTTGTTTTCTTCCTACACCTCTACGGCCCTCTATTTTGCCTTTAAGGATCAGTTGTAAAATTTTATATCGACTTTCCCTGATTATATGTCCCAGATAAGACATTTTTCGATATTTAACAATCTTTAGCAGTTCTCTATCTTTGTTGACGCTCCTTAGTATTTCTTCTTTAGTTTTTCTTGCTCTCCAAGGTATCTTCAGCATTCGTCAATGAACCCACATTTTCAATGCTTCAATTTTGTTCATGATCGATACTTTTAGCGTCCACACTTCTGCACTATGCAAAAGTACAGACCAAACATAGCACTTAACCATTCTTTGCCTTAGTTCTAAACTGAGATAGTTATTGCAAAAAAATGACTTAATTTTCATAAAAGTAGATTTAGTCATTGCTACTCTACGTTTTATTTCTATTTCTGGATCTAGTTGGTCCGTTATCACAGTTCCCAAATATGTCATTTTGGACTTTTTTGGAAACTTTCTTTGGAAACATTCGATTCCATCGAATTATGGGCATTGCTTGAATCTCGAGAAAATGCACGTATAGATTCAAGATACATTAACATAATCAAAAACATATATGAAAATGCCACCATGCAGATAAAACTGGAAGAAAGCACAAAAGCTAATCCCATAAGACTACAACAGGGAGTAAGACAAGGAGATACCATCTCTCAAAAACTATTTACCCTTGCTGTAGAAGACATTTTTAAGAAACTAGAATGGAACAATAAGGGTAACAACGTCGACGGATCATACTTAAACCACTTGCGATTCGCAGATGACATAGATTTAATAGCCGATAATACCTAAGAACTAAATGATATGTTACAATTAAATGCAGTTTCAGGAGCGGTAGGCTTAAAATAAACTACAGCAAAACAAAAATACTGAGCCGAGACTAGACAAATATAACAATACAAAATCATACCATCGAAAATGTTGAACATTATGTTTATCTAGGTCATGTTATCAAACTAGGAAAACCAAATCAAGATGCTGAAATTAAAAGAAGAACACAACTGGCATGGAGCGCTTTCGGCAAACTAGCATATATCTTGAAAAACACCTCCATTCCTGTAAACTTAAAGAAAAAGGTGTAGAAACCATGCATACTACAATTTTGTACCTACGGCTTGGAGACAGTACTCTTACCAAAAAATCTGCTAAAAAATTAGAAACAACGCAAATTGCAATGGAACGAATCATGCTTGGGATATCACTAAGATACAAGATTAGAAACACCGAGATAAGACGTAGAAAAAATTACAAAAATGAAATGGCGCTGGGTAGGTCACGTAGCCCGATATAATAACAACAGGTGGACACGGAGAATTCTAGAATGGAGACCAACGACGACAACAAGAAGCATGGGAAGACCTCAAAAAAGATGGGTAGATGACATAAGAGCAGTGGCAGGCAAACAGTGGATTAGATTGGCGCAAGATAGAGAAAGATGGAAGCAATTGGGAGAGACCTACATTCAGGAGTGGATGGAAAATTGTTGACAAAGAAGAAGACTTGGTGAGTGTCCGCGTTTGTGAACCATACGTGAGTATAGGGAGGATACTCCGATCGTAAATTCTGGTTTTCAAATATTGAACAATATTATGACTTTTAAAATCATGCCTTTTTCAAAAATACGTGATCAATTTTGCATGATTGATAAAATTAGATGCGCCCTGCAGCGGTTCATTGTTTTGGTTGTCCGTATGTGGTGGACGAGTAAATAATTAACGGTTAATTAATAATAACCGATATGAGATCAGAGTCTTTTTTAAAAATCAATATAAGGTTGAATGTTCGAATAATTAAACTTTGAGGGTATACAAGGCAACTATCGAACACGGTCATTCTGTCTCCGGCTTCTATACAACATGTAGCTTCTCCTTAAAAATTTTAAAGTGTTTGTTTGTCTTAGTGTATTGTATTTTGTATTGTTATGTCCAAATTTTACATTTATGACATTCTACTATGTCGGATAGGCCACAACTGACGAAATGCCCCTGAAGATGATCTATTGATCGAAAGTACTTGGGCAAGATTAAATTAATCACCGTGTTCGATAGTTGCCTTGTATACCCTCAAAGTTTTTTAAAAATGTCTCATGTTTCTATAACAATTGTTTACATATAGTAAGCCCTTTGTTCTTTCCCCTGGTTGTAAATTGTTGAGAGTTGTTATCACAAAAACCATACAAATCTAATCCTAAATTTTACTTTTTCTACAGAAACTTCCCTTGGTAAAGACCTTCGTGAAGAGCCCAGTTGTGACGAGTATAAACAAGCTGTGTATGAGTATGGAGAAAATTTCGTATATAGAATGGTCAGGCCATGGCTATTTATGGATACGTTCTTTAACATGACTAAAGTAGGAAAAAGAAATCAGGAAATAGTAAAAGTTTTACATGATTTTTCCAATGGAATTATCGCTGAGAGATATAAGCTGTTTAAAAAAGACGGAACTATGAGTTATTCTGAGAGAAAAAGACTGGCCTTACTGGATTTGATGATTAAAGCAAAATATAATGGTGCCGACATTGATGATGTCGGTATTAGAGAAGAAGTGGATACGTTTATTTTAGGCGTAAGTAATTTTTTATTAAAATGTTTTATATTGAAAAACAATAAAAACGAAACTTCTAGTGAAACTAGGCGCACACAATTTTTGAACTTTTTTTATATCGGTAAAGAATAAAAACATCATACATAAGTTAAAACACTTCACAATTATATTTAGGTATAAAAAACATATAGTTAAAACTTCTAAAAAGTGTCGTCAAAATGTATACAGTAGCATAACGTTTTCGATCTAATCAGATCATCCTCAGTGCCTTATGTAGTTGAAGCTAACAATAAAGTTGTGGCTGTGACATCCATATATGGGTTTACATTATTCCAATGTAAATTATGTTGTTACTCTAGGTCGATATATATATATATATATATATATATATATATATATATATATATATATATATATAACTATATACCTATAGTTTTTAACTATAGGTTCATTAATAAGATATTAGGTATTAATACAACAAAATAAATTTTATAATTTTTAAAAAATTACATTAGTCTCGGAACACACCCATACCTCGACATGTTTAGCTGTCTTCTTGAATTATATTCTTGCCACCTCAGCCAGTTGGCCTGTGTCGTTTTAACTGACAAGTACCACGTGTTAAAAAATCCGAGCAGGGAGACATGTAGCTCCTCAAGTATTAAATTTTATCTAATATCATCGACCCAGAGTCACAACATAATTTAAATTTGGAATGATGTAAACCTATATATGGATGTCACAGCGACAACTTTATTTTAAGCTTCAACTACATAAGGTACTGAGGATGATCTGATTCGATCAAAAACGTTATGCTACTGTATACACTTTGACGACACTTTTTAAAAGTTTTAACCATATGTTTTTTATACCTAAATACAATTGTGAAGTGTTTTAACTTCTGTATGTTTTTTTAAACGATTGTATACAGCCAACTATTTGGCTGTATACCATGGGATTTTCCCATTAATTTTTATTTTTTTAATAAAAACATCATTGCCACTACACAAGATATTTGACCTACTGCAGAGATCTGGTTTGTGTAACTTAATTTTAAAGCCCTTGATATATATAAATCGATAAAAATAAAAGAGAGAGAGAGAGAGAGAGAGAGAGAGAGAGAGAGAGAGAGAGAGAGAGAGAGAAACAAATAACACTATTGATAACACAATTAATTTGAAACATCCGTTTCGGATGTTGGAAATCATATTGGCAATCATAACCTTGCTCGCTGCGGCTCGAAACAGCTCCGTTGAGGTTTTCTTAAACCATGTTCTTAAATTCCGCAGCCATGATATTCTCCTTCTACCGGGTCCTCGCTTACCTTTGACTTTACCTTGCAATATAGACTGTAGCAGGGAGTAACGGTGCTCATTTCTCACAACGTGTCCCAGATATTGTAATTTTATGCGTTTGATTGTAAACACAATCTCTGGTTCCTTCTTAATTTTTCCTAGAACTTCCTTGTTCGTGATCCTTGCTGTCCATGATATTCTCAGCATTCTTCTATAAAGTCACATCTCAAATGCTTCAAGTTTTTTAATAGTGGTGTCTGTAAGCGTCCATGCTTCCGCCCCGTACACAGAGAAAACATAGCATCTCAAATGTCTCATTTTTGTATCAAGGGATATGTTGTGACTTTTGAAGATGGCGCTCATTTTGTTGAAGACCGTTCTTGCCTTTCCCATGCGGCACTTTATTTCCTGTACATTGCTCCACTGTTCGTTAATAATAGTTCCCAGGTAACAATACTGTTTTACTCGCTCTATCTGCGTCCCATTAATGTATAGATGAGCCCCGTTTATATTCTCCTTGCTGATAATCAGAAGAATTATATACGTACATTTAAAATTGAAACATTTCTCAATAAGTAGAGTGGAGTGAGGCTATGTAAAAATTAGTTGTCTTGGTCAAAAATATGAGTAAATTTTGAGATTTAAGTATACAGAATATACTGAATGATAGCATAACACTATATAGTAGAAGAATAACAAGGTTTTATGTCGGAAAATCATGCATTATATTTATAATGAGGTAAGTGATAGAGATAAAAGAAACAAGGCAACAAATTGGCATATCTGTGTTTCGTGGACCTTAAGAAGAAATTTGATCTGGTAAAATTAAAGGACGTTATTTACTTATTGTACGCAAGAGAAACATCTCTAAGAATAATCAAAACGATCGAAAATATCTACCAAAACGACACAATAAAAGTAAAAGTAGAAGAAGAACTAACTAATCCTATTGAAGCTGGCAATGGGATAAGACAAGGAGATTCTCTAAGTCCTCTATTATTCAACATTCTTATGGATAAAATAATAAAAAAGTAAGAACTAAAAAAGGAGACCAAATGGGAGAAAAACAACTTAAAATAATATGCTATGCAGACTACGCAATAATCTACGCAATAATAGACATATGCTGCACCAATTTAATATAACCACCAGAAAATTTAATATTTTAATTTCCTCAAAAAAGACAAAATGCATGGTTATAACAGCAAATTTACCAAGGTGTAAATTGAAACTGAAAGCTCAGATAATAGAATAAGTGATGGATTTTAAATATCTAGGCATTACATTCTCTAGCTAAGAAAAGCTCGAAACAGAAGTGGAAGATGAAATGAATAGAACAAACAGAGCCGCAGGTTGTCTGAATGAAACAATATGGAGAATTAATAATATCAGGAAAGAAATGAAAAGCAGAATTTACAAAACAGCCATCAAACTAATAATGACATACGTGGCAGAAACATGGCTTGACACAGAGAGGACAAAAATGATGTTAGAAACAGCAGAGATGAAAACACTTACAAATTGATGTTAAAGCACTATGGGACAGAGCTGGAAGTACAGATAGGTAACATAGATGCATGGTGGAGAATATCAAGGACTAGTTAAGATATAGAAGAGTAGAATGGAAGGATCACATAAGCCGAGTGATAACAAATAGAGTAGCAAAGACGGCAAAAGACGGTTCCCCAATAGGAGAAACGACAACTTACTGAAGGCACATTGAAAAATAGAGTTATGTGTATATAAAAGAAAAGAAGCAGAAGAAATATACAGAGTCAGATCTCGAACTAAGATAAATTTAAATTATTGTACAAATAAATGAATTTAAGTAACAGGTAGCAGTAGCAAAACAATTTAATAAATATAATTAAATTTCATGGTTACCCTTTCTTAACTGTGTCTTTTTGTAATCAACCAGAACTTTCTGAATATGGTAAGTAATGATGAAAGCAACATTGATGAGCTTAAATTGCATACATTGGGAAAAATAAGCCTGCTAGGGTTTGATAAGAAGGAGTTAAGAAATATGAGAATGCAAAGACAGTCGCAAATAGAACAGAATAAAAAGATTGTCGGTGATTTCGAAACGAAAATTGATAATGGGCTAATCTGTCACAGAAAAATAATTTAACCTATGTACAGTTGCGGTCACGGAATAGTTTACAGGTTCACGTATCTAGGAGCCCATTTTTTAAATTTTTACTTCGTTTAAACGCACCTTTTACGTCAAAGTGACGTTGCCAGTGGTGTACTAGCTAGAATAGGTAGATTAAAATTAAAATATCAAAATATTTTACAAAATGAAAAATATAGAAAACAGTTTTTTGTATAAAATGGATTATGATCTTAATAACGAAAATAAAGAAGTCTTTTTTTTTTATGCATTTTATTTTAAATCTATTTTATATTAAATAACGATAAACAATGATAAATAATAATTAATATTTGGTGGAAGCCCCATTCTTGTCAATACAATTTTGCAGTCTTCTGTTCATAGATAGCACCAATCTCCTCATGTTATAGTTAACAAGCTCTTTCCATGCCTGCTCAATTGCTTCCCATAATTCAATTCTATTCCGTGGTCTAAGGTTTCTTTCATTTAGTTTCTTTGTTAACTCTGCCCACACATTTTCGACGGGGTTAAAGTCTGCACTACGGGAAGGCCACGGAAGAACATTAACAACAGTTTCTTCTAGCCATTCTCGAAAAATTCTACTCGTATGCACCGGGCAATTGTCATGTTGGAAGATAAAGTCGTTGTTGGGGAATCTCTGGATCACCGATGGCAACATTGTGTGCTCAATAATATGTTTGTAATATAATCCTGTTAACTTCTCCTCTACATGATAACAAACGCCCGGGCCTTCGGCACGTATCCATCCCCATACGTTGACAGAGAATCCTCCACTATTTCTTAAATGATGCGTATACTGTTCATCATACCTATGATTTCTCGGCCTATAAACTCTTATTCGACCGTTATTATACGACTGAAATACTTTTTCATCGGAAAATACAACCCTAGACCAAAAATTCTCATCGCGGTTTATAAATTCATTACAAAATTCAACTCGTCTCCTCTTGTGATCCTCAGTCAAAAAAGGTTTCCGTGCAGCTACACAATTTAGCAGTCCACTTGCTTTAATTCTTCGACGTGCAGTGCGAATACTGCCTGGAAACGCTGCCTCTTCTCTTGCCTTTTGAGCTGTGGCAAAAGGAGATTCTCTCAAAGAATCTACTAACATCTCATCCTGTTGATCTGTGGAAATCTTCTGCCCTCCTGAACCTATATGCACATATGACTCACGTTCAAATCAGCAGCAACTTGCCTTTGGCAATTGCTCTTGCTTTTTGCGCATAATTCAAATGTATTCTAACCATTTTGGAAGAGTTTAATATACTTTTATTTTATTGTTGAACACTCGCGAAAGCATTGACGTTTTGAAATTTTTTGACTTTGACATTTATCAAATCCGTACGACACTGCAATTTTACAGTATTACAATATAAAAAGTAAGGTGTAAACTATTCCGTGACCGCAACTGTACATTTTGTATGTAAATACTTTTATAAATGAATATGAAATTTTTACTATATATATATATATATATATATATATATATATATATATATATATATATATATATATATATATATATAATATATATATATATTTATATATATATATATATATATATATATATATATATATAAATATATATATATATATATATATATATATATATATATTTATATATATATATATATATATATATATATATATATATATATATATATATATATTAATATATACGCGAATTTGGTGTAAAACCAATTTGTTATGTTTTTTAATGAACATAAATGCTTGCACGCATTAATGATTACAGGAAATTGTGTGTATTGAATTAAGCGCCAATGGAATGAGTCATAGCTCCTTAATTAATTATATGTTTTGATCATTTCCACATATTTAAATGAACCACCTTATGATGATAATTTTAGTAATTGATTGGAATACTAATAGTCATTCTCCGACCTTGAAAAATCACAACTTCAAATAAAAAAACAATTTCACTTCATATCATATTAGTTGTCTAACTGTAGTGTGTTTAAAAAAGGTATATCATATCACGCATTCATTAAATCACGCATTGTGTACACAAAAAAAGTTACAGCCCTTTGAAGTTACAAAATAAAAATTGTTTTTTTTGCATTATCTCCTAAACTATTTACTTTTGTAATAAAAATGGACACGTTACTTTCTTGTTCTGAAAGCATTTTTCGTAAAACAGAAACAACAAAATCTACACGTACAGAAAAATTTAAAGGGGGGTGTGCAGCCCTAAATCACCCCAAACTTTTGAGTACGTGCAAATCAAATGAATTTTGTGGCATCATTAGTTTAACACATTATTTTTAAAAATTTATCACTTTTTTCAAAAAACAGTCTTTATTGAGTTACGGCCTTTTTAACTAACCTTTAAAAAATTACTTGCAACTAAATAAATGGCTTAAATGAATTAACAAGTACAAAAAATGTCTATAACCTCTATAAATATGATATTACAATAAATGTTCAAAACGACCCCCATTTTCTTCAATACACATTCGGTGTCGTTTTAATAAGGAAAACCAAATGCGCTGAAAATTCATATTTTTCTGACGAAATTGATTTGCAGCTTCAATTATTCTAACCTTCAATCGTTGTTCGTCCTCTATTGTTACAGAATACACTTTCTCTTTCATAAACTTCCACAAGAAAAAGTCCATGGGGTTAATACCTGGACTTCTGGGTGGCCAAGAAATAGGTGGCTCACGACCCCTTTCAATCCACCGACCAGGATACTGCCTGCAAAGGTATTCCCGGACTTCATTACTGTAATTCGGTGGAGCGCCATTATCTTGAATCTTGTAATATCTTGTAGAATGTTATCTTTTTTAGTTAATGAAAATTATTATTAAAGTAGGTTAGTTGTTAATAGATATATCTATTGGAGAATTGGTGGAGAATTGAAGTGTTCGTAAAGTCCATGTGATGACCAGTGGAATGGACATGTTTGGCTTATGCACAGCGGTCAGGGTGAAGTCGAGAATCACTTTTGTGTAGTGTAATACGTGATTTCAATAATTGAGATGTTTGGCCGATGTAGGAATTGTTGCAAGAGAGGCATGGAATGTTGTAGACAATATAACTAAGCCTATCTATGGGAGTCTTATCTTTTATCTTTTTAGATTCTTATTATTATTATCTTTTATCTTTAAGACTCCCATAGATAGACTCCAAGATTACGATGACCATTTCTATATACACCCGCTAGGTAGAGGCCTTTATTTCAACAATATTGGTCCTCCTACAATGTGCTTTATCTTTGTAGGCTAACGCTTTTTTATCTATCAATACATTGTTGCAGACCGTGATTCCTTCAAGCATTTCTTCATAAGAAAAGAAGCAAGCAATATAAAAGAGTCTTAGCGTTTTTAGCATGTGTTTTGGATCCTGGTAAGTTTGAAATTATGTTCTCTGCGATCGTTCTAACTGTTGTATTACTATGGTGTTTTCTCCATTTAGTTTTGGAATCCCTACCTTATAATATGGATATTTTTTTATCTTATTTTGGCTTATTTTCAGATTTCAATTCTTCTAGTTCCTCAATTTCTTTATTTTGTTCACCATCAGACTGATTACTTATGTGATCAATTTCGTTTTCATCGTCTGAGTCCATAATTTTGTACTCATCATCTTTGAGTTCCTGCCAAAGTGCCAATAGTTTGGCTTATTCTTTTTCGTAATTCATTTAGAGAAAAGGGTTTATATGTACAACAAATAACGCCACGAATTAAAATTGTCTTAGTAACCTTGCGAATTAAAATTGTGTCTTCGTCACCCAGGTGGGGTTTAATCGAATTGCAGAACACTGTACTCACTTTGACGATCAACTTACTACTAAAATTGGTTCAGAATACCCAACGGCAACATGTTTTAGGCAGCTATAGGCAACCAATATCACATCCGTGTATTAATCATAGAATTATGCTAGTTCTAAGCGTGTTGGGGGTACCATTAGACCCTACCTGGGTGACGCCGGGTTAATAAGCCATAGCCCATAGTGTAATGTTATTCAAACAGTAATGATTTACCACTGTGTTTTACCACTCATCTCAATTAACATTCTTATATACAACCTAGAATCTAAAATAAATGTTTTTACTTGTAGGGTCATGATACCACATCCATTTCTTTATGTCATACTTTGATGATTTTAGCAAACAACCCGGACATTCAGGTAAGATATATTTCATAATATAAAACAAGGATTTTGCTAGATAAAATACAAAATTAAAACTATAAAAAAAAACTAAAACAATTTTCAATTGAAGGTGATTACTTGGCAACATCGTAGTTAACGAAGCCCTTAACGATAACCTTTTAACGAAATCGTATTGAAATTATCAAATTTGCAGAGGCGTACAAAAAAAATTTTTAATTATTTATTTAAACACATAAGTAATTACGTAAAAATTAAATCTAAGACCGATGTAATTATTAAATTATCATGTATCTTTTAATAGGTATCTTATAGTTGTCTAACAAAATAAAATAAAATTTTATTCTTATTCAAGAGTATCTAATACAGAACTTCAAAAAACAGAAAACTTTGGAAAATAATTTTTTTCTCATTAGACTAAAAACAATCTGCAATTTTAATTACACATCATTATCTATTTATAGAATTGCTGTGTGCTGGAAACGTTATATTTGTTTTTTTAACTTAATTTGAAAGTTTGCTTGTGTTTATTTGTTTATATAAATATGAAAATATATTATGAAGTTCATATAAATTAAAATGAACTAAGCTAAACTATTATCATATGAATGCGTTTATATAGCAGTGCATTTGTTTATTTCAGTAAATTCTCGAAATATGAAATGAAGATGGCACTAACTACTAAAGAGTTAATAGCTTTGTTAGAAGAAGACTCAGTTTGTGAAAATGCCACTTAATGTGGTTTATTTACCGGCGAGATTAGATTAGAAAGTTTCTGATGTATAAGACATTGATCTTCTTCTTCTTCTTCCTTCTAGTTTGTAGGCTTTAAAGCCTGTTTCTTCTTCAATATTAGCTTCCTAAATTGTTTAAATTGTCGCACCATCTTTTTCTTGGTTTGTCAATACTTCTTCGTCCATTTGGTGACTTATCTCGTGCTATTCGTACTATTATATCCTCCGCCATTCTACTGATGTGTTTGTTCCACTCTTGTTTTCGTTTTGTCACCCATCCATTTATGTCTTCTATATTGCATGCTCTTTTTATGTTTTTGCTTCTCTCCCTATCCAACAGACTTCTCCTTGATATTCTTCGGAGTATTTTCATCTCTGTTGTTTCTAGCAGTCGTCTCGTTTTAGATGTGTCAGGTCTTGTCCCAGCCATGTATGTTAATATAGGTCTAATTCCTGCTTTATAGACTGTTGTTTTTGTGTCTTGTCTTAGGTGTTTGTTCTTCCAGATTTTGTCATTAAGAGAACCCGCCGCTTTACTTGCTTTTAAGCTTTGCTGTCGTACTTCTTCTTTAACATCTCCGTAACTAGTTATATCTATTCCCAGATATCTAACCCTTGCTTCCGGCTTTATTATTTTCCCATTAATTTCGATTTTACACCGTAGTGGGTATTTAAATGTCATACATTTGTATTTTTCCACTGATATTATTATATTGTATTTCTTAGCTGTTGTATTGAAGATATGTGTTAATCTTTAGAGCTCGTCTTCTGTCTCGGCGATTAATGCGGCGTCGTCTGCATAATATAATATTTGGATTTCTTTGTTTCCAATTCTGTAGCCATGACTTTTACGTACTGCTTGTATTATTTCGTCCATTAATATATTAAAGAGAAGTGGGCTTAACGAGTCACCCTGTCTGAGTCCGTGTTGTACTGATATACAATGTGTTAGTTTTCCATTTATCTTTGCCTGTATTTGATTATGGAGATAGATGCTTTCGATGGTTTGTATAATATTGATTGGTATGTTCCTTTTATACAGTAGGTGTAAGACGTCTTCGACTTGGATGCGATCGAAAGCCTTTGTCAGGTCTATAAAACATAGATATGATGGCCTTTTCTGTGATTTGTCTTAGTACAAATACGGCGTCGATACAAAGGCTTAGTACAAAACAGACGATAGTGCAAAAATGTAGGATGTACAAAAGTAATACTATTTATTTATGTAAAAAGTGTAGAATGCATCTACACCCCGAATATTTCGAAAATTTTTACCTTAAAATTTAATTTACGTTTAAGATACAATATGTTTCTTTATTAAAAATTGTACTGTTTTCCTTAAAAATGAGAAAAAAAATCTTTTTGGTTGTAATTTATTCCTAATTTGTGTTTTTAATCCAATCTAATAAATTAATTGTCAAATTTCTCTTTGTATATTGAGCGGCCGTTAAGGGTTTAATACTATATAAAGAATAAACTGGCCTCAATTTTACTTTAGTTACCTCAAAACTATTTTAAAGTTAATAATAAAGTATATTTAATAAATATATTCCCAATAATACACTACGCCTATGCACTTATGTATAAAATCTAGAAGATATCATATTTCATAAACTTCAATAAACTAAGATATCATATTTCTCTAATTAACATTCTTTCTAAAAACGTAAATATATATAGACCAGCAAAATATTGATAATTTTACAGATGTTCCAAACTATTCTATGAACTTGTCTCACTCTACACTCGTGAATCGCACCAATTTATATTGTTTCGGGGGCAAATTTATATTACATGGGTTACAAATTTACATATTTACATGGGCGAAGCATACACAATAAAAATGACCCCGGTAAGAATTTACTAATGAAATTTTTCATGGTTGCCGCTACCGTTTAGTTCAATTTGTAGATTAGTCACCTTTAATTGAAAATTGTCCGACAAATTTTTTATTATAACAATTTTATTTAAAAAACATCCTTTATAGTTTAGTAAAATCTGTGGTATTATGTTTTTAAGGAGGAAATGTATCAAGAGGCAATCGCAGTAGTGGAAAACCCTAAAAATCCCACTTACACCGAATTGGGAGAACTGAAATACATTGAAAGATGCATAAAAGAAAGCTTAAGGTTGTATCCCAGCGCTCCCACGATTTCTAGAGTAGCTGGAGAAGAGGTACATACCAAAACTGGATACACAATTCCAAAATCTGCCGTTGTCACCATTTGTATATATGATACCCATCACAGTCCGCATTATTACGAAAATCCAGAAAAGTTTGACCCTGACCGATTTTTGCCGGAGAATATTGCCTCACGACATCCTTACGCTTACATTCCTTTCAGTGCTGGAAGTCGAAACTGTATAGGTGAGTATATGCCAAATTGTGCATTAATTGTCAATGCAATACATGTCGAATTTTACGTCTATTATAGTCCAGCCTATAAAAAATGAACCAAGTTATGAGCGTGATCACTTACGTTTATCGTATAGTTTAGTTCGTGGTGAAAGGACTTTCACCACGAAGTATGTCAGTAGCGGAGAGAGGATGCATATATAATCAGTATAGTATAGCATAGTAATCAGTATCAGTGTCTTTTACGTTTAAGTAAATATGCTTTGTTTGTTCTTTCTGTTATAATCTTAAATTCTTCGTCAAGTCAGTCATTTGTTCTTGTTCTTATTTATTTATCTTTTATGCTTAGTTATTCTTCAGTTGCTTCTTTCATAATGTTTCTTCCATATTGTTATTGTATCGTTCACGTTAAGAACCTATTTCCTTTTTTTACGTTTAAAATTCTGACTCTTATCCTACTTTACTACTCTATTTGTTGTTAGTCGGCTTTTATCATTACTCTATTCTACTTTTCTATTTCTTACGAAGTCCTTGATGTTTTCCGCCTTGTATCTATGTCGTATATCTATACTTCTAGCTCTGTCCCATGCTGTCTTACCATCAATTTTTCCAAGTGTTTTCATCTCTGCTGTTTCTAACATCCTTCATTTTGTTGGGCAGTGTTATCATTCCTGTTTCATACCATGCAAGTTGAGTTTAGGTATATGCAATGTAAGAACTATATACGAGCCAGAAAAAAAAACGGGTGTGGCAGTCCCGTGGGACTGCCGCTAGTTACTTCCGCGGACTTCTATAAACGCGTTCGCAGTTACAAATTCATCATTTATAAATAATATTAATGGATTTTTTTGTTTCAGGACAAAAATATGCAATGTTGGAGCTGAAAGCTGCTCTGTGTGGAATACTTTGCAATTTCAAATTGGAACCAGTTACAAAACCTTCAGAGATTATCCATAAGGCTGATATAGTATTAAGACCGTCTAATGAAATAAAAGTTAAATTTGTACTAAGAACGCAAAAGAAATAGTTCTATAGAGCGAATAGTTGTTCATCACTTCCTAATAAAATGAGAAAAGGCAGCAAATATTTGATTTCACGCAAACAAATCCTATGTATCTCTTGATACGTATTTCGACCTAATAGGTCTCGTCAGAAGAGCTATTCATAGGGCTTGTTGTTTGTTGTTGTTTGTTTGTGTTTAAATGACTGCGGACACTAAATCCATTCGCCAATCTTACAATTTGAGGTGTAGTGTGTGTGTGTGTGTGTGTGTGTGTGTGTGTGTGTGTGTGTGTGTGTGTGTGTGTGTGTGTGTGTGTGTGTGTGTGTAGAGTAATTGTCTTGATACTTAGCAAAGTCGACGTCATTGTCTTTGCTAAGAGACGCTAATTGTATCCGAACGTCTGCGGTCCCTCCGGTGTGTACCGATCACACAAGGATAGAAATTATTTTCATTTATTAATTTTTTTTAATAAACGAAAATTTCTACCCAGGTGGGATTCGAACTCACGACCTTTAGATTTAAAGGCAGGCGCTCTTACCACTGAGCCACAGAGGGGGGGTTCATAGGGCTTCTCAACGTGAAAAATCAATATTTTCTGCCTTTTAAGAAGCAACAATAACATGGCTTCAATACGAACGCAATAGCGACATCTAATTACAACAATCGTAAAATAGTTTCGAAACACAATTCAGATTTCTGTTTTATAATCTGAGCCTTCTAAAAATTGCAAGGCAAACAGACGATGTTAAAAGATGTTAAAAGATGTTAAAAACTTCCTAATATTTATTATTTATCATTTCATAATATTACCTATAATGACTTAAAACTTTGTAGTATGTAGTATCACTTACGATCACCAATCATGTGATTTTATATTTTTAAACTGTATATGTATACTTGTTGGTTATACAGATCCTCGAAATTAATTGTAGTTTAGTTGGATGGTAAAGCATACATTTATTTTATTGTTAATTTTATATTATATTAAAAAGTGGTAATTAAAAATATATTAATTTTTTAGTTGTTCTTTTCTTATATTAGAACATAATTTTTTTTTTTAGACCTGTCAGAATTAAGTATTAGTAATAGTTCACAGAACATCAAACTTGACACCGGCACTTGCACTGCAGTCTAATGACAACAAGGCACATAACGATGACTTCAAAAGCCCGTTTGTAGTGCGCCCATTCCCCAAAGTCCTAGCTCGAAAGACTTCTCAAAAGGGTTAAAAGCGTGGTAAAACAAGTAAGAAGTAAGGTGAAAAAACCAAAGCCAGCCAACAGGAAGGTTCTCTGCAATAGTTCAGATGAATCTGACGAAGAGATGAAAAATATAACAAAGGATTCAAGTGACGAGGATTTAGAAACTTTTCTGGCAAACGAAAATGAAAATTATTCGGTAGAGCAACAGGAAAGTGAAGAAATACTGAGCTCTTCTAAGTTAAAAGAAGGTGATTTTGTTCTTGTAACATTGGCCAGTAAAAAGAATATTATTGCACACTAAGTTGCCAAGATAGTTGTGGTTTTAAATGACGAATACATCATCAAATATTTAAAAACAGTGATTGGACACAATCAATTTGTCTATTCAGATGAGAAAGTCTTCGAAGGCGACATACTAAAAAAACTGCCTTCATCAGATTTGGTTGGAACATCACAACGCCAACAAAATGTGATGTCCTTTAATGTTAAATTTGATACATTCAATGTAAATTAATCATGTTTGTCATCTAATAATTCATGTAATAAATAATATTCCGTTTGTTTGTGTTATTTCTTCTTAATCAAAGGTAATTTGTTCTCTGATCACAGAACACAGTGTCGTACCTTTGGACGACCTGTCAGAATTTAAAAGATAACTGAAACGAATCCATAGACCTATACTTTGTCATATATAGATAAAGGTTGTATCTACTTCTGTATGCTTCAATGGTCTCTATAAAGCAATTTTTAAACATTTTGAGCCAAACGACATGAAATTTGCCCAAATGTACAACACTCTCCCCTACAGGAGAATATTATTGTCATCGTGGTATGTTGTTGCCTTTTTAAAAACAAATAACATGCAATGATTTTTCTGACGGATATTCTGAAGTTAAAGTTGATTTTATGTAATCGAATGAATTATATTACAATAAAGTCGTTTCAGGAACGCAACTCTGCAATATTGGTAATATCATTTTAAAGTCGTCCACTTATATGAATGACTTAAATAAAATTAAATTAATAGAAGAATTTGTCACCAAAAAATCAAAATTTGTTTAATTATTTATTAATGTTTTTATTTTGAGAACGATTTCCGAAGTGGAAATTGAAACGTCAATAAACTTATTTTAAACGTGTGGCTTATTTCCAATTAAAATAGTAATTGCTTTATTAATTATTATCCAATTAACTGCTGTGGATGAAATAAAAGCATGCCTAACATCCAATTTGTGGCGGTATTTAAAGACGCCAGATGAACACCAGGGTTTTCGTAGTGGAAGATCGTGTACAGATGCAATATTCGTTATAAAGCAAATTACTGAGAGATCACAAGAGTATAATAGACCAGCATTTCTGCGTCTGATTGACACAAAGAAAGCGTTTCACAGAGTGAGACTCAAAGATGTAATCCATCTTCTGAATAATAGAAAAGTCCCCCTAAATATTATAAAAACTATCGAAAACATCTACCATCATCATCATCATCATCATCTTGGTGCTACAGCCCTTAGAGGGCCTCGACCTTCTCAAGCTTTCTACGCCACTCTGTTCTGTCCCTGATTGAATTTTCCAGTTGCCGACTCCGATCTTCTCCGCATCTTGTGTTACCCCATCCATCTACCTCAGCTTTAGTCTACCCGTTTTCTGATCCCCGGAGAAGAAGTGAAAGATGAAAGGGGGTGAAAGTAAATATTTGAATACAAATTATAATGGACAAAGATTAATTACATTCGCAATTGAAAATAGGATGAAGATAATGAGTACCCATGTTAGGAGAAAAAATATATAGAAAGGAACGTGGGAAATTCCGGGATCAAATAAAACAAATCAAATAAACACATCTTAAAATAAGAGAAGTTCGCCAATTTAAGAACAAATGTGAAAACGTGCAGAGGGGCTGACGTAGACTCAGATCATTTTTTGGTTAGAATTAATATGAGAAAAGCAATAATTAAAAAGCATAAACGGAAAAAGAAAGTGCAACGTAAATTTAACTTTGAAAAACTGCGAAAATTTGAGGTAGCACAGGATTATCAAAAGGATATACAAGAAACCTACGCCAAACAAGATAGTACTAATGTGAGTAACATACAACAAAAGTTCTTGAAAATGACAAACACTATAAAGGAAGCTACGTCGAAGGACATACCAAGAAAGAAAAGATTTAGAAAAAACCACTGGTTCGATGACGAAATTAGGGTTAAAAATCGATCGCAAAAACAAGACGACCTAGAAAGGTATGCCGAACAACGAAAAAAAGTAAAGAGAATCCTAAGGGAGCGGAAACGAAAGTATATGGATGATGAAATAAAGGGCATTGTAGAAAATTACAAGAAAAAGGAAATAAAAAGTTTTTATAAAGAGGTAAAATATATTAAAACTGGGTACCAGGGAAGAACGATGAATCTAAAACATAAGCAAGGAAACCTGATAGTGGACGAAGACCAAATATGTGAAAGGTGAAAAGAATATTTCGAAGAGTTGCTAAATGACGAAGTGACTACTGAAAATAATTGTTATGTTCCTAAACCTCAAATCGTAATAGAAGAAATACCAAAGCCCACAAGAGAAGAAATTGAAGAAAGAACATAAAATATGGAGGAAAGACATTAATAAACAAACTTGTGAGCTAATACTAGAAGTATGGGATACCTAAGAAATGTCTCAAGAATAGAATACGTCGATTATAATTCCTATACACCAAAAGGGAGATAGAACTGAATGCGCAAACTATAGAGGAATATCCTTATTAGAGTTAATATATAAAGTACTCGCCATACTAATTAACAAACGATTATAAATATATGTAGAGAAGAATCTAGGAGAATACCAGGGAGGATTTCGGAAAGTAAGATCAACAACCGATCAAATTTTTATGCTAAAACAAATCCTGATCAATTGCTATAAATATAACATTTCAGCACAAATATTTTTCATTAACTACGAAACAATAGACAGAAACAAGTTAATAGAAACACTAAAAGAATTCCAGGTGCCAGAAAAATAATAAGATTGGTAAAAATGACAATTAGACAAACTATTTGTGCTGTGAGATGGAACGGTACAGTCTCAGAAGAATTCGAAGTGAAAAAACGTGTTCGCCAAGGAGACCTGTTGTCTACATTGCTATTCAAAATAGTTCTAGAAAAAATTGTAAGGGTTAGTGGGATAAATAGGTCCGGAAGTATTTTATACAAGGAGTACCAATGTTTAGCATACGCTGATGATGTGGTTCTCATTGCAAGAAATGAAAAAGAACTATGAAATATAGCAAAAAGACTGATTCCGGAAAGCTCTAAAATGAGACTGAAAGTTAACATTAATAAATCGAAGTACATGGAGATCTCGTGTAAAAAAGGAATAAATACCAGGGGATCCTTTAAATTGGAGGTGTAGGATGGATCAGTTGTAAAATTCGAGAAGGTAGATGAATATATGTACTTAGGTATTCTTATTGATCAGACATGTAAGGAAGAAACTAATATCAATCTGAGACTGACCAAGAGCAACAGGTGTGCTGGAGCCATGAGCAAAATAATTAAGGCCAAAGATATATCTCGTAATACAAAAATAAGAGTATACAAAACTATAATTAGACCCACAATGCTATACGCTGCCGGGACATGGACTATGAACAAAACCATACAGAACACATTGAAAGCATGGGAAAGAAAGATACTTTGCAGAATATTTGGTGGAAAAGTAGTAGAGGAAGAATGGAGAAGACGAACTAATGCAGAAGTGTACCATTTGTGTGCTAACCCTACAATAACAAAAGTGATGAAAAAACGTAGACTAGAATGGCACGGTCATCTAGAA